CAACAAGCATGAATTTAAAGGTTAAGAAGAAAATGAGAATCCTCTTCCCTTTTTGCCAATTGAGAACAAGCTCTCAAGTGCACATAATACTGAAAAAGGTTTGTCAAGTCCCAGTCCAAGAGATTCCTGCTGACATCCACGGCAGTCTGGCTTGCAGGAGACAGCTTGACATCTTAGTTAGTAGTAAAGAAACTCTATATCTTGTCAAAATGACACTAAGGTATCTGCAGCTAAACTTGAAAGCTAGTCTCTCACACTTCTCTGCAAATATCCTTATACTCTTCTAATCAATGTGGCCATGACAAAATGGAAATGTTCAGCCTAATCAAGCTCTGTCAGTATAGAAAAGCCATTTGCTATTCCATGAAACATTCCTATTACTTTTGCTAAGTTCTTGTCTCATAGCATCGTCTTGCTTGAACTCTTTTTGGGGAAAGAAAGGCTAGAGCTGTGTCTGTCCTAGATTTCAAGAAGTTAGAGAATAAAGGGGTGAACCGTGGAGAATCTGGTGTCTAAACCAAAGCCCTGAGCAAAATGATGAAAAGGTGGTTAATAATTAGAGAAAACACTGATTCAGGATCATATCATTACAAGTTTAATGCTATAGTTTAGTTAAGATCTGTCCTTGAGAGGTTCACATACTGAACTTTTATCCCCAGTGTGGCCATATCCAGAGATAAAGAAACCTTTAAAGGGTGACACCTAGTGGAATGTGACTTGGCCACTGAGGTAACACCCTGGGAAGGAATTAATTTAGGCATATAGAGTTGAATTAGTTCTAAGAAAATGAGAGCCTGAAACCTCCCCCAAGCCTTTCTTCTGCACACAGTCAAGCTACTATGATGCCACGTACAATGATGTCTTCACCAGAGTCAATCAGATAGTGGTGCCATGGCCCCTAGACCCTTCAGAACTACAAAGTTGATCAATGTCCTTATGTAGAACCCACCCTCATGGATTTTGTTGCAGAACACAAAACAGAAACACCCCATTTAGTCAATTTGCCAAGGCTTATGATTGCCTCCAATTCATTTTCCACTGTGAAGACAAAGCAGAGAAATCTAAAATGCAAACCTGCTCAGGTCAATTTTTGTTGAAAGTGCTGTTTCTGCTCATTTTCAGAAGTCCCAAGTAGCTCAGGCCATCAGGGCTGGTCTCAGGCCTCTACTTCCAGAATACTTAAAATTCTCCAGGATAGCGCAAATACCCTATGAAGACTTCTAAGGCTAGTGCTTTTTATCTTCTACTCTCTTTTGTCTTAGGCTTTTACATAAGACTTTTTATTTATTCATTCACTTTCTCTTCTTTCATTCTTTTGCCACCCCCTTTATTTTCCTTCCTTCCTTCCTTCCTCCCTTCCTTTTTTAGGGAGGAGGGGGAATAGACAACCTGGACTTCCCTTTCATAGGGTTCCCTCCATACTGCTGCTTTACAAGCTCACCTCTTCTGTCTAGACTCTAAATGCACAGAGTAGGTACCATGTCTGCCTTAGTCACCATCACATGTGTAACAGTGTGTAGCACAAGTGCCTGTGCTACACAGCAGGGTCATAAACATACATTTTAAGGTTTATTTTTATAGTGATTGCATAAATTTGTGTGTATCCCATGTGAACAGGACCCCAGAAAGGCTATCATCAGAGGGCATTAGATAACCTAGAATTAGAGTTACAGATGGGTGTGAGGTGCCACGCAGAAGCAGTTATTTCTCTTAACTGCTGAGCTATTTCTTCAGTTCTCTCAAACACATTTTTTTTCTTTTTTTCTTTTTGGTTTTTACGAGACAGGGTTTCTCTGTATTGTTTTGGAGGCTGTCGGTCCAGCCTGGCCTCAAACTCACAGCGATCCTCCTGCCTCTGCCTCCCAAGTGCTGGGATTAAAGGTGTGCGCCACCACCGCCCGGCCTCCCTCAAACACATTTTAAAGGAATAGAAAAACGACGAGAAGGAGCTAGGGAGGGAGGAAACCATAATACAGAACAAGCCTGTTTCCAGAAATGTTTTAAAGTAGACTCTGAAGGGATTCTCTGAGGCTCTTTAGGTTTAAAACATGATGCTTCTAGCATGAACCATAGCAAACCAGAGCTAGTTATTTCCCTGTAGCTCTAAAGTGGAAGCTGAGAAATATAGTTCTTAAGAGAAGGAAGTACCAAAAAATTCAGATATTACAAGGCATCATTTGGAACATCTTAAGAAAGGGGTTCAATGCCAGGCATTGGTGGCACACACCTTTAATCCCAGCACTGGGGAGGCAGAGGGAGGTGGATCTCTGTGAGTTTGAGGCCACCCTGGTCTACAGAGCAAGTGCCAGAATAGGATCCAAAGCTATACAGATAAACCCTGTCTGGAGAAAAAAAAAAAAGTGGGGGGAGGAGGTTCAACAGTGGCAGGTATGGGCTACTTCCTTTTGATCAGTCGAGTTCCATAGACTATCCCAAAACATTACAGGTTATTGCCATTGTTCTTGGTTACTCTCCAGAATTTGATGGTAAGACTCTATTTTTGAAGATACCATATATGTGAGTCAGTAGTCATGGAAAATTTGAGCTGGCATTAACCTAGAAGCTTTATCTTTAGTGACCAGTTTTCACAGTAGTGGAAGATACCATGCAGGTAGTGGGGGTAGAGGTGTGAGTTGAGGGCAATTTACTTAATAATCTAACTCAACTGTAAACCTTGCAAGATATGCCCTTGAGGAAGAGTGCGACCAATGCTCAGGGAGTAAATGAGCATGTTTCTGGTTGGATTTAAGGTCCAATCCACAAAATGGGACACATGCTTGCTACTGTTACTGGACCAAAAATCCACAGGTGGGTAGGCCATAAGCCCTAGGGGAGAACCTAATATTATTTTGTTTAACAAATATCATTTTAAACTGCTCCCTAAATACTTATCTTTACAGTCATAAATTAGTACATTTTCAACCCTCATCAGGGAAGCTTCTTTTGGCAGTAAATGATGATTAACACAGAGATTTTCAATTGATCAATATGCAGACTAAAATACCATAGATTGTTCAGCCCTAAACAGGACATGCTTATCATACACTATCCTCTGCAAAATCCTCAGGGGATCACTAGAGATGAGGCTGGAAAGATTATAAGAGCCAGAGTTAGAGGAGGGCTACTGCACAATAGTGTTTCAGGGCATGACAGGTTACTATACACATGAACTCACAGTGCCTGTGACTGCATGTAAAAGGCCTGCATGCAATCAAGCCAGCCCAAATCCCAGAATGGATGAGGGAGAGGCACACAAAGTCCCACCCTTAGATGAGGACCTATTGGCAATTGACAGCTGTTGGGGAAAGAAAAACATCAATTTTCTTCAGGGTGTGACTTTTGATAGGCTGCCCACATTCCATTGGATGGCCCTACACCCACACACATACTGGCGACACTAAAGGGACTCAGTGGGTTTAAAAAGAACACATGGAGTAGGAAGGTAAAAGTGATTGAAGGGACATGAAAAAAGTTGGAGAGGAGGAAGTAGGGGTAGACTTATCAAAACACATTATATTCAAGTATGCAATTCTCAAATAATACATTTAAAGTGGGGGATGATTCAAAATGTGGTAATCAGTGTTAACTGTCTATTTGACAGGGTCTAAAGTTACTTACTAAACAAACCTCCACATACACTGGTGAGGGATCATCCAGGTTAGACTGCCTTCTGAGCATGGCTGTAGGGAATTATCTTGATTAGATTAAGTGCAGTGGGGAGGCCTTCCCTCTGTGAGTGGCACCATTTCCTTGGTCTAGAGATCTTGGACAATATAAAAATGAAAGTGTGGAGTGTGCACAAGCATTTGCTACTCTTTTCTTCTGTTGCAGATGCAATGTGACCAGCTGTTGCAAGGTCCTGTTGCCTTGACTTCCCCACCATAATCGATTGTGCCTCCAACCATGAGCCAAATAAACCCTTTCTCTCTTAAATTGCTTTTGTCAGGGTATATGTCATCACAGTGATAGGAAAACAAAAAATAAAACATGAGACAGGAGGAAAAAGGAACTACATTTGTTGGCCAGAAATAAAACCAGAGTCAAAACCTGGCTCCATGGGCAATCTTGGACAGTTTGTTTCAGTTCCTTTGAAAAGGAACTGAGCCACATTAGTGACTCTGACACTGAGTTCTGAGGCACTCAGGCTCTACTGGCATGAAGACAGCAAGTAGTTCACCAGGGAATACAGTCTTAACTTCACATAATAAAAATGCTTTATATTTATTAAGGTTCTACTTACAATGCCTTAGAAAGGCAGTATTAAGGTTAAAATAAAGTTCAAATAGCAGAGACCCAGACACCCTTCCTGGAATCTTCCCATCTTAAGTCCTTTAGTCTCCATGACAGATGGGCCCTGTCTGGACATTACAGTTTGCTTGATGGCACAGCTGCAGCATTTCCTACAGTATTTTCTCACTGCTCAAGCAGATGGAGAGGAAAGAGAGCAATGTCAAGTCCAAGTTTACCATCAGACTGAGACAATAATAATTGCTCTGTTAAATTTCTTCCAACTGTTGATATAGAAAAGTACAAAGGTCTTTCCCTCCTTTAAACAATGTTTTTTTTTTATACTTATGGCCTAGTATTCACTTTGACATTCATTGTGACAGAAATAATTCAGTCTAGAACACATTCACAAAATCCAATTCATATCAAAAAAGGACACTGAAGTTTAGTAGGTCCAACTAATACTGTAATCATCATTCAAATACAGAGCCTGCTCTTCTGAACAAGGAACTATGAATGTGCTAAACAACAAAGCAAAGTCTCTGTCATGATATACTTTCAAGTCTACCTTTATCTGAAATTTACAGGCAGAAAATGACACAGACGGGGAGGAGACGGTGGTCCTACAGAATAAAGGCCTTACAGCCCTGGATTAAGACAGGTACTCCTTTTTCTCTGCTGTCCCTTGCTTATCTATATTTCAGGAAGCATTAGAAGGTCACAAGTGTCAATCCACTTCTGAGAATACACAAGCAGCAAAAATATAATCTTACCTAGGTCCTTCTTCATCACCCTGGAAAACAAAGAAGAAACAGTGTTAGAAATCACTGTTGGTAAAAACTGGTTTAGATTTCTTTAATTTCTCTCTCTGTGCCCAAACCAAAAGCAAGGTTGTGCATTTATTTTAACAAAGACAAACCAAAAGATGTCTAAGAGCTAAGACAAGGACTAATATATCCCTATGTTCAAAGATGCACTAATAATTTGCCCTTGCTAGTATGGAATGTGAACACATAGACCTAGGAGGTCTAAATAATAGCCTTGTTTTTTTATTTCTAAGGATAGCAGTATTTAGTTCTGAGCAAACCAAGAACCCCCAAATAGCAGCAGGTCTTGGGTAAAGCTGACCAGCTCCAAAAGCACGAGGCTGATTTCTTAAAACTTATTTCCGTCTTGGTCTAGCACTTTTTCTCAAAATATGAAGACAGCAGTTCTAATATACAGCATATTGAGGTGGGAAGATTTCTTAATTAGGACTCAGGAAGAAGAGATTCTCGTTGAAATCCTGAGACTTAGGAGAATGTGCCACCAGGACATGCTAATTGGTTAAAGTGACCCGTGGGTCCCCTCTGTAAATGGGTAGTTTGAGCACTGGTAATCTACCTCATTCATTACCCAAACAATACTTTTCCTCTTTTTCATATTCATTCTGCACAAATGTGCAATATTTTTCTCAGTGTTTCATTTTCTTGGCCTAACTTTCTCAGTAACCATCATAGCAGCTTATCTGGCATCTCCCTCTGTAACAAAATGAGAACTGTCAAATGACTTTGGTTTGGCAATGGTGATGCAAGCCTTTAATCCCAGCACTTGGGAGGCAGAGGCAGGCATATCTCTGTGAGTTCAAGACCAGCTTGGTCTACAAGAGCTAGTTCCAGGACAGTCTCCAAAGCCACAGAGAAAGTCTGTCTCAAAACAAACAAACAAAAAATTACTTTGAAGCCTTTTCCCACAGCAGTTCATTTGTCCTTCTGGTGACAAAGTACCTTTCACACTCCCTCTTTAGTCATTCAGGGTTAACCAGTAGAAAACATACCTTCTGGATGTATTCCCCAGAGAATCAATGAATAAATGATTCCAAATAAGCTGGAACCAGACATACTGGGCTCAAGTCTTGGCTCTATCACTTACTTGCTGTGTTACTTTAGCCAAGTCATTCTGCCCCTTTCAATTTCAACTTCCTAGTTTATAAAGTGAGGTAATAACTGTCTCTGTATCAATAGGATCAATATGAGAATTAAATAATGCTCATAATTGCTAGTGCCTGAGAGGACAGTTAATAAAGGTTACTGGTTAATATCAGTAGTAATTCAGTATAGATCATTAAAACAGTGTATAAGTGCTAAGGATAATGATCTAACTTTCTATGAATTCTCAACATGGAGCTCACACACAGAAAATAAACTAAGCATGTTAAGGGCTCTACTGAAGGCATAAATAGAACAACTTCAGAGACAAAAAGGAAGAGAAGGTGACAATATACATTGATACTTGGGATAAGCAGGATTCTCCTGGTCTAACAATAGTAAAAAGTGGAAAGAAGACTAGGCTAACAAGAGAAATAACATAGCAGTTTAATTAATATGGTTGGAGGGGTGGATGGATGGATGGATGGATGGATGGATGGATGGATGGATGGATGGATGGATGGATGGTAGAAAGCAAGCAAGAAAGAAAAGTAGGAAGAACACTGGAATAATAAGAGCAAAGACAGGATAGTGTGACTAACAGATGATAAAATAGATTAAAGGAAAGGAGGGAGAGAGGGACAGAATCTGGGGTCTGTGGAACTAGAAAATGAGGATGTACCTATGTATTTTGGGCAGTGTGGGAGTAGGGCTAAGGGCAGTGTGGGGTTAACAATGCAAGTGCGATAAAGACAGATTACCAGAGATTAGGCTTGTAAAGGAAGCTCTAGCTATTCTTTGTGCTAGAGATTGAAAAGAAGAACATTTTATCAGACTGACTATAATGTATTTGAATAGTGTAAGGGCACTAATCATTTCTATTTCTGTGAGAGAGAAGGGGGCAAAGTGGAGAAAGGATGGCATAGGGGTAGTAGAGGACTTCTTTGCATTTGGATCAATTTACACATCTCAAGGTACACCCCTCAATTATAGCACTTGTGAGGCTGAGAAAGAAGGGTGGTGAGTTAGAATCCAACCAACACAGGAAGGCTTATATGAGACTGAGTAGGATTTCTGAGTTATAAAAACAATCTCACATTAATTTCAACATTAAGAAGTTTGGTAATTAACTTTTCCAGATTCAGTTTTCTAAACAAGTATGTGATATAGTGTCCAATAATGGAACCATTTCTGAGCTTATTCTGAATCACTAATTGATATTGATTATCAGGGCACAGGAAAGGAAAGGCAGTTTTGTTGTATTTCCACCTTTTCCAGAAACAACAGGTACTCCTACAAAGTCCACAGAATTACAGACTGAAAGTTTGACTGCTGCAGGAATGCACAAATGGATGAAACAAGCACATTTATTGAGTCTATTTAGATGACTTCACCAGATGACCCTGACTTGCTGGTAAAAGATGTGCACATGCTGGTCCTGCTACCCCAATGTTCACCTCTATCCTGAAAGCCTTCTTAATTCTAGGCACTCCTTTAAGACCAGACCTGATTCAGAAACTCCCTCACTCTGTGTCTGTGGAGTTCATTCTCACCCAGCAGCTAAAGAAAACTGACGGTGACAGCACCACATGGTGTCTCCCTCAATGGATTTTAACCACTTGAAAAAGAAACTGTTTTGTTCATATCTAAGGTGCATAAGTATATAGTAAATAATTACTTAGAAGTTCAGGCTATAGCAGGATTTAAGATTAATTTATATTGCCATTATAAGTTAATTCTGGTTATAAATATTAGAAGTGACTTGTTAGATTAAGTAATATTCCCAAATCTCTCCTTCCAACACTGTGAATGCTCCTGAATGGCACACTGCTCTGTAATGTGACCTTTCCTTTCTACTTCCACCAGTGGAAATAAAGTTCACCAAGATTCAAGTTGAATCCCAAATCTGCTTGTTCAGGTAAATTTGCAAACATCATTACAAGTTAAATAACAAAAATGAGTGTAAGAGAGACAATCGCTGTCCCCAAGAGTTGTTGTTTCTTGAGAATTTACATGCTTCAAATCATTCATTAAAGACTGTAAAAATTAGTAACAATTTTGAGTATAGGTGGAACATGCAAAATAATACGAAAATTAAATTACAACAATGTCTAAGATTCTATATTTAACTTGCTTTGAATCATATCTCCTTTGCTATGGAGTAACACTAGACATTTTAGACAAATAGTTTATTGTTGATTTCTCAGGGTGCCAGGAAGCAAACCCAGAACCTTAACACACTTTTGTAAATACTTCCATTGAACTATGTCCTAGTCTCAACTGGGCATTTAAAATGGCAGTGGATGTAGTTCATACTGAAAAAAACTAGATTTTAAAATTAAAAATAAATGCTTAAGCCGGGCGGTGGTGGCGCACGCCTTTAATCCCAGCACTCAGGAGGCAGAGGCAGGCGGATCTCTGTGAGTTCGAGGCCGGGCTGGACCAACAGCCTCCAAAACAATACAGAGAAACCCTGTCTCGTAAAAACCAATAAATAAATAAATGCATTTTATTTTTAATAATTTATCCACAGAAACAACCTTTTCTAGGATTATTGCATTTCAACTCAGAACTCTTCTTTCAAAAACTGGACAGAAGGGTTGGGGGATATACACAGTTGACATTGACAGTGCACCTAGCATATACAAGGCACTGGATTCCACCCACTGCACTATATAAACTGAGCAAGATGGTACATGTCTGAAACCTCAGCACCTGATAAATAGAGGCAGGAGATAACTCTAAGGTTATCCTCCGCCACATGGCAAGTCAGCCAGGATTACATAACACCCCATCTCAAACAAAAACAAAACAACATATCCACTAGGCAGAATATGGATTATGAATTACAGGCAAAAACAAGCATATTAAGTATATCATTCTATTTTTAAATTAGGATCACTTTTCATACACATACCAAGGTGGGGAGCAAGGCAATACTGTAAAAACACAGTAAAAACTAGCAGGAGTGTTAGCTAGATATAGCTAGATACTTCCCTTGCAAACTGGTTCCTTGAGTGAACACAGGCGCTCTACAAATTCCCACATAACTCTACTGTGTCCTCCTGTTTTGTGAAGTCCTTACTGAAATGAAAAGACACTGAGGCACAGAGGTAAAAGTCAGACTGCAGACTGCAAGGAGACACAGGAGTGCCCAGACATCCATTACTTCTTAAGCATATTGTTCTGAATAATAAAAAATTTGGATAAGGCATTTTTAATATTTAACTTTGATAAAGAGTAGAAACTCAGAAAACAGAGAAGGGAATACTTCTCAGTTTGAATTATGAGACAAATGTATATCTAGTACCAAAAACTGACAAAAGCATGGATATAAAAATTTTAGATCAATATCCCTCATGAAAAGTCATAACTCTTAAATTAGCAAATTGAACCCAGATAATACATCATGACTGAGTAATAAAAGTTTATCTCAAGAATATAAAGTTAATTTAGTATTGTAAAATTAGTCAATGTAATTATTTATTACAATAAAATACAATCCATTTAATCATCTCAATAGATGAAGACAAAACTCAATATAATTTATGACTAAGAAAACTTCAATTTGATGAAGAGCATTTAGAAACACCATCATGCACCTGTAAGGTAGTGACCATCACGCAGACACTGCACTGATTGTCCTAGCAGTTGCACTTAGGAAAAAAAGGGAAAATAGTATAGATATCAGAGGAAGAAGCAAGACTGTCATAGATAACATGGCTGCTGATGCATAAAACCCCTAAGAATCTATTAAACCACAGCTATAACTAACATGGCAAAGTTACAAATACAAGGTGAAAGTTCATTTGTTGCTGGGGACAGTAGAGAGCATCTGAAGTTACAACTGTTTGGAAGGCTAAGGCAGAAGGACTGCTTGAATCAG